TTCTATTGATTATCATCGTGTTGTGATGTTAATCCCCATGTTGGGTTGAGTTATGTGTTGATGGTAAGACATTGATAATAGACAATGAGAAAGAGTTGGTAAATCTTCTTAGAATCTTTATGTTTACTTCCAATTGTGATTAATTATTGTTAAGCTATGATATTACATTGGGGTATAAATTGTATTAAGATTATAGGATGGTATGATGTTGAATTAAAATTTCTTGACTATGTTGTGAGATTGGTTAAGATGTATGTACTATAAGGATGGTGAAACTATCAATATGCCATAAAATGTTATGAAATGCTAAAGTGTTACCCTCACTTATATGAGTTATGATGAAAGGACTTCAACTCATACAATTCTTATTTATCTATTGACGATAATGAATTTACAAAGGGTAGAACCTATGGCCTATATTAAGTTATGGTTGATAATTAAAGGCTTAAAAACATTTCAAAAAGCGGACTCTAGCTTAGCAGCGAGTGAAATAGATAGAGGAGTGTCCCTTCCCACATATGGAAGGTAGGAACACTACATCACTCTTGAGATTGGAGATCATAATGCATGGCTCATAAATAGGATCCCAACTGAATCTCCTAGTTCTTGAACTATGTTGGCCCCATAGGAATACTAGCTAGTGGATCCACATAGTTTCTATGTTTTATGTTCTGGTAATACCTTGGCAAGTAGTCCGCCTTCTTTCGTTGTAAGGTTTTATGGCAGAGGATTCCACACTAGCTCATGTGGTCTATGTTGGGTAGGGCAAGATGTTCCCAAAACATAAAACGAATTAAAGGACTTGAACTCTAACTTGGATAACCTATGGGGTCTAGCTTAGTCTTAGTAGGGATATGGGATTCTACTTAGACATTGAACTAGTTAGTCTTGAGGGGAGTCTTAGGAGGAGGTTCTTATATGTTTATGTTATGATAATATATTATGTATATATATATGATTACCATGTCATATTTTTGATACTATATGTTGATTCGTTCATTTTTAAATATGCCTTGGGTTAAAATGATAATATAAGATGAAGTTGTAAGCCTAAATGCCATGAAATGTAAAGTTGGACAGTGGTCATGTTTTTCTTGTTGAGGATACTTGATTGAGTAAGGTTATAGGGCTTTGCTTGGTCATTGCACTTGTTTACTTAATAAGAACTTGTGAATAGTGTCCTGCTTATTATGAAATGCTTAAATCTTATTCATTTTTGTGATATTATTATTTGATGTTAGGGTTGTAGTATCTAATGATTTTAAGTGTGTTGGGATAATTGTTATTTGTTAGGATAGTAAGCATGTTTGGTTGATTAGTATATTTTACTTGACTTTGCATTAAGCCCAAAAGGGGTAAAATAACATGTTTTAATAAAAAGTCCTCCTTTAGCGTTTTTTGCTTGTATATGTGCTTAAGATCTCATACTTAGTATATGTGGAGTACTAACCCCATTTTCTTCCCTTGTCCCAAACATTTTAGGTTCCGGTCTTTGAAGTTTATTTGAGGTGATTTGAAGGAAGACTTCGAGATTCTATCATCCAAGTGGTAGGTCCTCATTTTCCCCGAGGACGATGCCAATATTCTTATTACAAAGTTACTTTGTTAATACAACTTTTGTATTGACTCTATTTCCTATTTGATATAAAGTTGTATAAAGCCTATATACGGCTGACCTTTATTGATGTAGAGTTATGCCCAATGTTGTTGTCCTCGTTAAGATAGTTTATGATATGACATGAAATTATAACTCTATTTCTCTACTATATAAAGGTGTTAAATAAAAGTAGAAGGCTATGTAATCTTGTTATAAGAATGAGTCTATGTATACTCGCTATTATTATAATTATGTGTATGTAAAGGTCTATGTAAACCTCCGATTAGAAGTAGTTGAAAAATTTTAAATTCTTCCATAATTTTAATCGATGAATGCAATGATGTAAGACTAAGATGCTTCTCTTAGTCCTCAAAGAAGATGACGACGCCGGTTACGTCTAGGAGGTAAACCCGGATGTGAAAATGCATTATTGTCTCCAATCTCAAGAGTAATGTAGTGTTCTTACCTTCCCTATGTGGGAAGGGACACTCCTCAATATAGTCCACTCGGTGCTAAGCTAGAGTCCCTTTTTGAAATGTCTATAAGCCTTTAATTATCAATCATAGCTTAATTTAGGTCATAGGGTATATCCCTTGTATAATCATCATCATCATCATCATCAATATATCAATAGGATTTGTATGAGTATAAGTTCTTTCATCACAATTCATATAAGTGAGGCTAACACATTAGCATTTCATAGCATATTTAATAATTTTCACCATCCTTATATCACATACACCTTCATCAACCTCACAACATAGTCAAGACATTTCAATTCAACATAATACCATTCTATAATCCTAGTATAAGGCATACTCCAATGTAATATCATGACTTAACAACAATTAATCACAATTGGAAGTAAAGATGGAGATTCTAAGACTTACCAAGTCTTCCTCATAGTCTATCATCAAGGTCTTACCATCAACCCAGAATTCAACCTAATTTGGGGATTAACATAATCACACAATGATAACCAATAGGATAACAAGGCCAATTGTATCTCAATAATACAATTCAACACTAGATCATAACTTAAGACAAGATACATAGGCTAATTTCACAATACAATTCATATCCTAAATCACATCTCAAGAACTAGCATGATAGGTCTATAATTCATCTTAATATAATCAAAATTACACCATAGTATAGTAATCTAATCAACAAATAAATCAATTGAATGCTTATAATACCTTATAGGTCAAGATCACAATCTAGGGTTAGGGGTTTAGGATCATGTTCTTCAATTTAGACTAAACCATAAACAATTACCATAAACAAGTTGAATTACATGTTATTATTCTACATATAACCTAAAGAAATAATTAACAAATCAATTCATAACTTTAATTTCATAATTGAATGAAACTCATAAGAAAACTCAACTTTTGAAATCTATATTGAAGGAACCCTTTGAGGAAATAGTCTCAAAGGTGAATGAGATCCTATACCTTAACGTTTGACAACAATTTGATGTTGAATTCGACCCTTTCCAGCCTCCAAACCCTATTCTTTCTAGTCTTCAATGGTGAGTTAAAATAGAGAGAGAAAGAAGAGAGAAGAAAGAGAGTTTATTTGTGAGTTTTCTTTAAATTAATGAGGGTTGGGAGTATTTGTATTGGGACTTAATCAACTTCATTAGTCTCCCTTAAACCTCTAATTAATCACCTAAGCCCCTAACTAATTAAATGAAACTAACTTAAATAGATCAGCAAACTCAACCCTCACAGACGAGACCCCTATTGATGGAATGTCCACGAGTCGATGGACCCTTCCCCTCTCGTCTTGCACTCCGTGGATGAGTTCAGAGATTTTGCAGGCGAGGGGATTCCATGCATTGTCTAAGTGTGGGACGACGATGGCATTGACGCCCCATCGATCCTCACATGGACAGTATCCTGCATCTCTATACTCCGTCGATGAGTTCAGAGGATGTGCGTGTGAATGGACCTTCTCCACCAGTCTAAGTGTGGAACGATGGAGGCATCGACGACCTGTAGGTCAACACGGTCTGTTTACTGTCCCATCAATGCACACTCCCAGGCAGTGTTATATCAAACTACAAGGGTCCTTCTCAAGGACCCTTGGTTGGTCCTTAGGGACTCGTACCCGGACTTTTTGAGCATGAACCTCCGGTAGAAGCTCGCATGCCCAAGAAAACTTCTCACACCTTTTACAGAGATGGGTGGAGAAAGTCTCTATAACCTCAAATTTTGATCGATCAACCTCTATCCCCTTCTCTGAGATGCGATGGCCCAATACAATACCCTCTTTCACCATATAGTGAAAAATTTCCAAATTTAGCACAAGGTTGCAATCTTCACATCTTTTAAGAACCTTGGCCAAGTGACTCAAAAAACGATCAAAAGAGTCGCTAACAATTGGAAATTCATCCATAAGAACCTCAATAGTATTCTCCACTATATCGGAGAATATCAACATCATACATCTCTGAAAAGTAGCAGGTGCATTACACAACCCAAAATACATCCTCTTGAATGCGAATGTACCATAAGGGCAAGTAAAGGTGGTTTTATCTTGATCCTCTGGTGCAATAGATATTCGATTGTAACTCGAATAACCATCAAGAAAACAATATCACTCTTTTCCTGCAAGCCTATCTAACATCTGATCCATGATGGGCATAAAAAAATGGTCCTTATCAGTTCATGCTTTCAAATTTCGGTAATCCATACATATTCTCCATCAGTTCACCGACCTCATTGGAACAAGCTCATTCATATCATTAGGAACCACAATCATTCCCCCTTTTTTGGCACACACTGAACAGGGCACACCCAACTACTATATGCAATTGGATATATGACTCTGACATTCAACCACTTAACAACATCCTTCTTAACTACCTCTTTCATAGGTGGATGCAAACGTCTTTGGTGCTCAATACTTGGCTTGTTATCGAGCATGAGTTAGATTATGTGTGAACAAATACTGGGTGAAATCCCAATAATGTCAGCAATAGTCCAACCAATGGCTCGTTTAAACCTTTTTAACACTTTCAGCAAACACTCTACTTGTTCCACATTCAAATCCAATGCAATAATTACCGGCAAAATGTCATCTCTTCCCAAAAATACATACCTCCGATGAGGTGGTAGAACCTTACGCTCTAATTTTGGGGCCTCCTTAGTAGATGATTTCGCGGGTGAATACTCGCGATGCTTCATATCTAACTCCAATTTCTTTGGTTTGAAGTGAAAGTCACCGTTATCAAGTTCCGCACCCAATGACCCATACTCCTCAATAATATCCCTCTCAAAATTCATGATCACTGCTAGTAGTGCCTCAACACCAAGGCGCTCTTCGATTTGTACCTCAGACGTACTCTCAACCCTGTAAGATATAGCAGATATTGTTTGGATCTCACCACTCTTCTTCATGAACCTACAAATGCTGAAAGTTGATTCTTCATTAATTTAACGTAAACTTCATCCGCCCTTTTTTCCATGTCAACCAAGCCGTGATTGGTAGAAAGGAACGGGCTCCCTAGAATAATAAGCACATCAAAATCCACCTCACAATCAAAAATCACAAAGTTGGCCGAAAATATAAATGACTCCACCTTCACTAACACATCGTGGAGTATCTCAATAGGCCTCTTCATCGTTCGATCGGAAATTGGTAACTTCATCATAGTGGGCTTTGGGTCACCCAAACCCAACTTCTTGTAAATAGAGAGAAGCATGAGATTTTTGCTTGCACCAAGATCACATAGTGCTATAGTGAAGTGTAACAAGTAGATGGTACATGGAATAGTGAAAGTTCTCGGATCTTCTTCCTTTTGCACAAGAGACCTTGTACCAATAGTATTACAATGTTGCATCCGGTGATAATCCTCAAAACTTACCGATCTCTTCTTAGTAACGATATCATTCATAAACTTGGCATAATCGGTCATTTGTTCAAGAGCTTCTATCAAAGGTACATTGATGGAGAGGTGTTTCAACATTGTAATAAAACATCGGTATTTACAATCCACAGTCTTCTTTACCAATCTTTGCGGAAATGGTGGTGGTGGTCTAGGAAGGGGGATCACTTTTTGGGGTATCTCCGCTTCTTTCACAGCTTTCTCTACCAACTCACCATTATCTTCCACTACGTCATTCTCTTTTCTCACCTCATCTTCCACACCAGACGGTATAGGTGGATCAATGATTTGCTTACCCCCTCGAGTAGTTACTGCCATGCAAAGTCCATCATTTTTTGGATTTTGGACAGTTTTGCTAGGAAGAGTACCCGGTTGATGTGGGTTCATAGTAGAAGACAATTGGACCATTTGCAACTCAAGATGCTTGATTGAGATTGCATGTGCATCCACCTTTTAACCAATATTAGACAAATCACCTCTCAACTTTTTGGCAAGCTCATCACTAGTATCAAACCTCCTCCTCATTTTTTCCAACATATCTTCAACTCTCATCGTATTACCTCCACCATCCCTAGGTGCAACCTACCAATTTTGAGGTGGAACATAGAGCCCACTTTGATAGTTTCTAAGTTGTTGTCGTGGTTTTAGTTTCCATCTCAAACATAATGACCCTCTCGGTTGTAATTCGCATAGTTTCAACCTTGATTTCCTTGACCTTGACATCAATTCTCCCTATTGGATCATTAGGCGTTTGGTCAAAAAACCCCCGTCTGCTCATTCACTGCATAAGAATCCTACTCATAGTAGAATTCATATGTTGGCGGTGGTCTTTTAGACAAGTAATTCACTGCATTTACTTTCTCTTTACCTCCAGTGATATGTTTCAATACCAACCCTAGCTCAGTTCTCATTTGAGCCATCTCTTCACAAATATCGTCTGAGGCTTGATTGTGTGTAGCTTGCACTACAAAGGTGTTTCTCCCAGTGTTCGACTTCTTGGTGCTCCAACCCTTGTTTTTGCAAGAGATTTTTCCCAACTTCTCCTCGATCTCAACATATGTGCACTCACCATAAGAGCCACCCGCAATAGTATAAAGTACTGCCTTATTATTATCATCTTGCCCTCAATAGAAGTACTCTTTCAACGAGTCATCATCAATGCGGTGGTTTGGGACACTTCTCACAAATGAGGTGAACTTATCCCAAGCGATACTTACCGACTCTCTAGGTAAAGCTACAATGTTGTTCACTCTATTTTTGTAGTTGAGATTTTTAGACACCGGGTAATACCGTGCTAGGAAAATATCCCTAAACTGCTCCCAAGTATAGATCGAATTATAGGTCAACTCAGTAACCAAATTGTGGCGTCTCCCATCAGAAAGAGAGGGAACACCCTTAATTCGATAATCTCCATTTCAAAGTCTGGACTCCCTACACAACTCTTTCACACCGACCTCAACTTGGCGATTTGACCATGTGAATCCTCAGATGGTAGCCCCGAAACAAACCTCTAGCGGTGAACATATGCACCAAGATACTAAAGAACCCAACTATTATGTTGGGGTCGATCCCACGAGGAAAATGATCTAGTATTAACTTTAATGTACGATTACCTCTATGTAGTCAACTCCTTTCCGAAAACTAATAAATAAGGGGGGGGGGGTTGTTAAACAAAAACATTGCAATATTTTAAAATCAAACAAGTAGCAAAAGTAAATTGTTTGTGTTTATAAAGTTGTGAGAAAAACTAGGGTGTAACTGTTCCCCATAGGTTCATAATGCCATAACCCTATTTGCATGCAAAGTGATAAGTTCTGCATCTCTAAATCCTTGGTCCGACGTTTAGAGAATTTCACCACGTACCTTGGTCCAGCTATGTGTGTTTAAGTTACTAACCCTTACCTTTACTTCATATTAAGCATCATATTTGATGTTTAGCTTAGTTGTTACCTCACACCAATTAAAACTAGCCTATTAGATAGTACCCACTAAATATATGTTGATAATTCTTTTCCTATGAACTAACCTCTTGGTTCGGCAAGTAGAATTAAGGCGAGTTCTAACGTGTGCACTCATTAAAAGTACTTGTAGACTAAAGAATTATCAATACATGCAATAACCTAATTAAGAATTGTTAATTACCTAGTTTTATATTGTTAATCACCCATGGTTCCCACAACCTTAGTTGTGGATTTAGTTACCCATGCTTAGAGAAACACAATTCAAAATTGATGAAAAATAAATCATGAACTTACTTTAACAAATAGGAAGAATTTCTAGAAATTCAACTCGAAATCACACAGTTGTCTTGAATAATAAATCTAGAAATTTTATTAAAATTGTACAAGAAAATCTCCAATAACAAAAGTATGAAAATAGTAAAAATATCCAACCCCCCAAACAAGGTTATTTACCCCATTTATAATAAAAAAGAGTCCTAAATTAAAAAGGATTAAAATAAGGAAAATTTTGTCCAAAACGCGGCTTCAATCGACGACTTCACAACGGTTTGTCGGTCAAAGGACGAACCGTCAAATGCCTCCGTCGGTCCATAGTTAGCATCTTTTCAAAGGCCACAAATTGCATCTTCTCTTATCCAATCGATGGACCAGCATCACATTTCGTCGATTTACTTAGGGTCCGTCGATGCCTTTCATTATTCCATACTTATATTTTCTTCAATATCAGGTACTGGAGTAGTTTCTGATTTCATCAACGATATGCTTGGATGGTTCGTCGATTAGTCGACGGACCGTCGATCCTTTCTTATCCACACACTTAGTCAGAGTTTCCCGAGTTGCTTCCTGATACTTGAACCTCTAGTCTACGATCACCACCTACGGTCTGCTGATGGGATGACGGGCCGTCGATGGCTTTTTGGGTCACTTCTGCACTAATTTCTTCACAACCTTCTGCGTTCCCATTTTAGACAACTTTCTTGAATAATAAAAATAAAAATACATTAAAACTACTACAAAAAGGCCCATACACACACCAAACTTAAGGAAAAAACATTGAAAGTACCATGAAAGCACAGTACATCACACATATAATGAGTAAATACAAAAAAACAAATTCAAATCAAATAAAATAAAAATTAGATAGAAATCTTACAATTTTACTACTTGTATCTTCATATGTATCCTTGTATGATCGATTTGACTTTCTTTTTCTTGTAACCACAAAAAATTCCTTACATGATGGAGTATCACTAGTTTCCCTCTCTTTTTCTCGTACACATTAATGTTGATAGTAAAAATATTCTTTATAATGCGAAAAGTTTTTCTTCAATGTTGCGAAAGATATCATACCAAATCATTGGAACTAAAGCAAAGCTTTTGTGTCCAACATTATGTGGATTCTTCAACTTTTTACGATTCTCACTATTGGTTTTTGACATTTTCTGCAAATAGAAGAGAAGTTCCACAATAATCAAGTGAATTTTATAGAAGAGGAAAACTTCTTTCTAGCGAGTCATAAAAAAATGAGAGCTTAGTGGATCCCAAAAAGAAGAGACAGAAGAGACATTACCAGTGATATTACAGAAGAAAAGAACTCTTTATATAACTTAAAATATTTTGTGAATGATGAGCAAAAAAAACCACGAAATCAGTTAATCACAATATTCTTTTACAAAAAGAGAAGTAACTAAGTCCATAAGGAAAAATACAACCAAGAAACATGTATTACAGATTGTTCTCGGATCCAATAAGTACAGAAGGTAAAATGATAATGTAAACTCCAACTTAACATAACTTAACCACCACACACTATTAAGACTTATTTGGAATTTTTCTGAGTCCCAATATTTAAGAAGTTCCTCAAATTGAGATGTTGGAACATCACCAGGCTTGTTTTCCATCATAATTTGATCATTAGTGTAGGCATCAAAGTGGTGTATTTTCAAATCAAATTTACGCCTTCTCCAAGCTTCTTGAACTGTTTTTAAAGTCCATCTAACACTGATTTTTGGAATGTCATATTTTTCCTGAAAATTTGAATATTGAGTTAGTGTAATAAATTTTGAATATATTTAACTTAACAGAGAATTGGAAATTCCAATCCTTGGTATATCCCCACAAATCATCTTTTATATCCATCATTTTCTATATCAAGAGGAAAAATGGTCCCATTCCTAGTAAGTGTACCAAAGAAGCTGCTCAACTCTATCATGACATAATTACTAGGACCAACTAGCTGACCTACTTTATTTAGTATAATCACTTTACGATTATGCCTTCCTTGTACATATAACATCTTTGTTTGACCTCTTTGTCTTTTTTTAGTGTAGGGGTCTATAATAGTACACAAATAAAGATAACCCTTCCAATGTAGTATTGTAATTTGATTTCATAATCAAAAAAGAAAATAATATTATAAATAATATATTGATGTTCTTGCCTTGTTCTGCACTTTGTTTGTTTTCTTCAAGAGTAGTAGAATTCAATTGAAGTTGTTCTTATACTAGTTGCACTACATTGTTAGTTGAGTCCGTTTGTAGACAAACTCCTGTCTCTGGACTGTGTGATTCAAGAAGATCTTGTTCTTCAATTACATCTTTTTCTATCTAGCAACAACTTCTTTTGATTCTCGAAAGATGTGAGTGTTCCAGTTGGAACCGTTGCTCTTGCTTCTCTATTCCTTATTCTTGAAGACGCTCTTTGTTTCATGACTACCAAGTACTGCCTGTTGTAAAAATAGAGACATACAGATAAAGTGGTAGACATCCCAACAGAATCGATAAGATAAAGTAGAATCATCAAAAAGAACTTTACAGTAGAAATAAAATGAACTAGTAAAAAGGAGAAAGGGTGAAGCAGAAATCAGAATTACCATTTTTTGCGACTTGATTTAGATTGGATTTCTAAAGCAAAATCAATCAGCTCATTTTAGCAAAACAAACACTAAACCAATATCTAATAATATTTAGAAAATCCAAAAAGACAGAAGTACACAATAATAATAAGTTGATCATGAGTTGGAATATCAATGACATGACCAGGTACATCTTCTCTCGACCATCTAAGATCAACATCAACATCAGATATTCCATTTGATGTTCCAATATCATAGTCTAGCTCCCCAAAAAATGTGTCTCCAATATTTGGGCAATTCTGATCTTCCTCTAAACAAAATAAATCAACATTTACTTTAGTCCTTACATAATAAGCATCATTCTTAATTGGATCCTGTACATAGAAAACTTGATCCACTTGAGGTGCTAGTACAAATAGATCTTCAGTACTACATAACTTGTTCAACTATACCTGAGTTAATCCATATTCATCTACATCATTACTATACAAATCAAATTTAAA